CCCCTTTTTGGAAAGTAGATACCCCAAGGAATTTAAAAGGAGGCATGGTGAGTATTTTGCAGATCTAATTTTTTTCTCACAAGGTTTTGAAATATAAAAAAAGAAAAGAAAAAGTTTTTGTTTTCTTCATTTTCCAAAAACTTGTGGCAACAAACAAGATCTGCAAAATACTCACAATGCTTCTTCTCAAATTCCTTGGGGTGTCTATTTTCCAAAAAGTGGTCATTTGGGGGGTGGTGCTATCTTGGCATTTCAGGGCTTCCAAAAACTGTGATAGGTAGTCAGGAAGTGTAATGAGGAAATAAAGCCCTTTAAAAACCTGAAGGTGCCTATTGGATTTTGGGGTCCTGTACTTGGCTAGACTGCCAAAAAGTCTCTCACATGTAGTACCCCCATACTCGGGAGAAGTAGCAGAATGTATTTTGGGTAGTAATTCCACATATATCCATGGCATGTGTGAGCAATAAATCATTTTAGTGACAATTTTGTGTAAAAAAAAAAAAAAATAAATTTTTGTCATTTTCCAAAAACTTGTGGTAAAAAAATAAATTCTTCTATTGACTCAACATGCCTCTCTGCAAATAGTTTGGGATGTCTGCTTTGCAAAAAGGGGTAGTTTATCCACATAGTCAGGAGAAGCAGCAGAATGTATTTGGGGGAGTAATTCCACATATACCCATGGCATGTGTGAGCAATACATTATTTAAGTGACAATGCTATAGCCAGTTTCCTGGCTACCTAACATTTTTCAAGACCCTGTGTAATTATGTACCCTGAACTGTGCCTTGCTGTACCCTATACTAATACTCCACTAGTGTGTGGTAGCGACGGAAGTAGTCCTTGAGGCAGAGACAAGGTTGACCATGACAGGAGGGACAAAAAAAATTGGGTGTCACGCCTAACTCCATGTCTGCTACAGACATGACATCTTTTTTGGGGTGCCTTTTGGGTTAGGGTACCAGGAATGGCATCGGGAAAATGCCTCTCATGCAGCTGGCTAACTGCATCTGGGTTGGGGGTTTGGGGCATAGCACCTTCTGGATACAAAAGGGCCATGATGATCTCTTCCTGGAGTTTTAGGAAGGATCCACTTCGTCCAGTTGCTTTGTAAAGCACAAAAGAGTTATATAGAGCCAATTGAAATAAATAAACAGACACCTTTTTTTTATACCAGCGTCTGGCTTTTCGGAAAACTTAAGTATGGCTTCAACAACTGGTCGTTGAAGTCCACCCCTCCCATATTAAGGTTCTAGTCGTGGACACAGAGGGGCTTCTCAACAACACCAGCTGCCGTGGTAATTTGGATGGTCGTATATGTGTGAATAGAAGACCGGACGAAAACATCCCATTTCTCCTTCCACTTCACTGCGAGCAATTCCTCATTTCTCAAGTAGGCTTTTTCCCCCTTTCTAAGACAGGTATTTACAAGCTGTTGGGGGAAGCCCCGGCGATTAGGTCGCACGGTGCCACATGCACAAATTCCAAGATTGTACAAATGTCTAAATAGTGGCACGCTTGAATAAAAATTGTCCACGCATAAGTGGTACCCCATATTTGACACCAAGTCCCAAACTATCTTGCCACTGCTCCCCATGTAGTCGGGGCATCCGGGGGCTCCAATTGACTATCTTCTCCCTCGTAAATTTGAAACGTATATGTATAAGCCTGTTGCCCTCTCACAGTTCTTATACATCTTGACCCCATATCTGGCACGCTTGCTGTGGATAAATTGTTTGAATTCAAGGTGGCCAGAAAAATGAATGAGGGACTCATCAATGCAGGTGATTTATGAGGGGCCGTATTTTATGGAGCCGGTCAAATTCAGGGTCACCCCGAGGACGACAAGAGTGTGTTGTTATTGAAATTCATAAAATGCATTATATTCTCTATGCCTGGCCATGGCAGCAGCCAGTCAACCTTAGTTGACTTTTTTTAGTAATGCCCATGTTGAGGGTTAGTCCCACAAAAACTTTAAATTCGGAAACGGTAATGGGTTTCCATGCAAATGGTCTGGCAAGGTTTGAATTTGGGTTGTGCATATAAATTGCTTTGATCCACAATGAATGCATACAGATCTTCTGTGAAAAACAGCTCCAAAAAATCAAGGGGAGTATTTAAATTTGCTGTTTCCACCTGAATTCTGGGTTGGGCAGTGAATGAGGGATGTACGGGTGCTGCAGAATTTGTGGGCTGCCAATCAGGATTTGCAAGCATGTCCGAAAGGACACTAGGGGCTCTGTGGCTCTGTGGGCCTGTGTGCGAATTCTTGGTGGCTGTGGGACACTACTTGTGCTCGCCACCGCACCAGCTTGTACTGCACTTATGGGACTCACCACAGGTTATACTAGGCCGCTGGTGCTCGCTAGTTCACCAAAAAGTAGAGCAGCACTAGTACTTGCACTCTGCTGCATATGAGAGTCATCATGCGTTTGTAACATCTCAACAACCTGGGAACAGGGTTAGATATGCCTGATCTTAGCAAAATGTATGGCTCAAATTGCACCGCACAGAAATCGCATGTGATTTGCACAGCAATGCGATGCAATTCCTTTGTGAATCTCATGCGATGTGCCACACCACATCCGTGTGAACCCGGGCTGAGTGAGGAACAGCGAAACTCTAAAGTGAGGTTGTGGAAGAACGTTTCATGTCACAGGTTATACACCATGGCAAGACTGAGCAAAGCAAATAGACACAAGCTAGTTATACTGCATCAGCAAGGTGGCTCCCAGGCAAAGGTTTCAAAGCAGACTGGGGTTTCAAGATGTGCTATTCAAGCTCTTTTGAAGAAGCACAAAGAAACGGGCAATATTGAGGATCATAGACCCAGTGGTCAGCCAAGGAAGCTTAATGCAGTAGATGAAATGGTCATCATGCTTACTTCCCTTCAATATCATAAGATTTCAGTAGTGCCATCAGCACAGAACTGGTGGAAACCAGTGGGACCCAGGTACTCCCATCTACAATCTGGAGAAGTCTGGCCAGAAGTGGTCTTCATGGAAGAATTGCAACCAAAAAACCATACCTCTAATGTGCAAACAAGGCTAAGTGACTCAATTATGCAGGAAAACATTGGAATAGGGTGCAGAAAAAAAGGCAGCAGGTGGTCTGGACTGAAAAATTAAAATTTGAACTATTTGGCTGTAGCAGGAGGCAGTTTTTCGTCGACAGCAAAACATAGTGGGAGGTTCCTAGCAAGTTTGGTGCTGCAATTCTGCAAATGGATTTGGAGATTTGGTCAGGATCAATGGTGTCTTCAATGCTAAGAAATACAGGCGGATTATAATCCATCATGCCATATCATCAGGGAAGCGTGAGATTTTCCCAAAATGTATTCTGCAGCAGGACAACAACCCCAAACAGAAGGATTTGAGGCAGCCTGAATCCACAGAAGTTCTGTGGTTAGTTCTCCAAGATGTCTGGAACAACTTACCTGTCTCGTTCCTTCAAAACTTTGTGCCTAGAAGAACTTATTACAATTATTATTATTATGATGCAGTATTTATATAGTGCCAACAGTTTGCTCAGCGCTGTACATTATAATGGGAGACAGAACACGAGACAGCACAGCAACAATACAATACGCGAGGGGTTAGAGGGCCCTGCTCCTTGGAGTTTACAATCTAGGAGGGAGGGGATAGTGGTACAGGAGGAAATAGCTGTGGGGGATGGAGTAGTAGGAAGAGTGGAGGAGATCGGCAATTAGGGGAGGGCGGGGTAGGCTTCCCTGAAGAGATGGGTTTTCATGGTGCGCCTAAAGGTGAGGAGGGTAGGTGACAGTCTGATGGATTGGGGCAGTGAGTTCCAGAGGATGGGAGAAGTCCTGGAGATGGGCATGGGAGGAGGAGACCAGGGAACTAGAGAGTAGGAGGTCTTGTGAGGAGTGGAGAGTGCGTTTTGGGTGGTAGATGGATATCAGTTCGGTGATGTAGTTTGGGGCAGTGTTATGAACAGCTTTGTACGTCAATGTTAGTAATTAGAATTTTATGCGGTAGGCAATCGAAAGCCAGTTGAGGGATTGGCAGAGGGGGGTGGCGGATACGGAGCGGTTAGTGAGGTGGATGAGTCTGTCCGCAGAATTCAGGATAGACTGAAGCGGGGATAGCCTGTGTTGAGGTAGGCCGATGAGGAGGGAGTTACAATAGTCAAGTTGTGATATTATAAGGGAGTGAATTAGTTACTTTGTAGTTTCTGGAGTTAGGAACGGACGTATTTTGGAGATGTTTCGGAGGTGGAGTCTACATGAATTTGTCAGCGATTGGACCTGGGGCTGGAAAGACAAATTGGAGTCTAGAATGACACGAAGTACTCTGGCTTGCGGGGTGGGGCTGATAGTGGCGTTGTTAGTCGTGATGCAGAAGTTTTGGGGGGGGGGGCAGGCTGGCGAGAAAACTAGGAGCTCGGTTTTGGCAAGGTTTAATTTGAGGAAGTGGAGTGACATCCAGTCTGATATGTTGTTCAGAAGGCTAGTGATTCGGGCGGAGACTGAAGGGGTGAGGCGAGGGGTAGAGAGCTAGATTTGAGTGTCATCGGCATAGAGATGGTAGTTGAAGCCGTGGGAGTGTATCAGTTGCTGTTATGCTGTTTTGTTTTATGCTGTTATTACTTATGCTGTTTTGAAGGCAAAGGGTGATTACACGTAATATACAGCATCATTTACAGCACTTCTTCACACCTACCTAAAACTTTTGCACAGTAGTGTGTGTATATAAGTTCTTTTTCTCAACAGAGAACTAGTCCCTGGGCCATCTGCCTTATTGTAGATACTCTGCTCCAGTCCATGTAACCAAAGGTTTCCAGATGTGCTCAAATATAAAATGTATATCTTTTCTTATAACTAGTTGTTTTTCACAGGTATAGAGTATTTGAACCAATCCAACAGCTTTGGATGGGTTAGGACAGGCCTTGAATTTCCACTCGCCTGCTCGCAAGGCATTTGGTGAGTGGAAATAATGTGGGGGCTAGTGTGTGCTGACGCGCTGTACAAGACAGGAGACAGGCAGCGGTACGCTGGGCTGTATATTATTCCACAGCAAGTAAGGAGCGGGCGGGACCATGAGCTCCACTGACTCTCTGACCAATTCTAGAGCAGTGGGTGGGCTCCACTCCGGTGTACAGGGACAAGATGGGTGTGACTTGGCATGCAGTGCTGACTTAGTAAAAGGGACAATGCCCCATGCTTGGTGTCAGTGGGAGGAATGGTGCCCCATGCTTGGTGTCAGTGGGAGGAATGGTGCCCCATCATTGGTGTCAGTGGGAGGAATGGTGCCACGTCATTGGTGTCAGTGGGAGGAATGGTGCCACGTCATTGGTGTCAGTGGGAGGAATGATGCCACGTCATTGGTGTCAGTGGGAGAAATGATGCCACGTCATTGGTGTCAGTGGGAGGAATGATGCCACGTCATTGGCATCAGTGGGAGACAGTGTCCCACTGCTGGTGTCAGTGGGAGAAATAGTGCCCCCATTGTGTTGGTGTCAGTGGAGGAATAGTGCCTCATTGTTGGTGTCAGTGGGAGCAATAGTGCCTCATTGTTGGTGTCAGTGGGAGCAATAGTGCCTCATTGTTGTTGGGGCAATAGTGCCTCATTGTGTGGTGGGAGGAATAGTGCCCTATTGTTGGTGTCAGTGGGTGGAATAGTGCCCCATAGTTGGTGTCAGTGGAAGGAATAGTGCCTCAGCTTTGGTATCACTAGAATTAGTGCCTCAGCGTTGATGTCCCTATTGATGTAAAGCACAAAATTTTCCTTTTATGATTACATTGTTGTTACTATTTATTTTTGTAACTTCTGAATAAAAAGTTTAATAGTGTAATTTAACCACTTTCCCGCCACCCTATAGCAGAAATCCTGCTACAGGGCAGCAGGACTGCGCAAACTCACGGGTATATATACGTGCCCGAGGACAGAGCCTTGGGGGACACGGACAGAGAGGGGGAGGTGGCAGTGTTGTAGGTGACGCTGAAGGAGCGTTGGGAAAGGTAGGATGAGAACCAGGAGAGAGCAGCAGCGTCCCTGATGCCAAGTGAGTGCAGTTTGGCAAGGAGGAGAGGGTGGTCAACAATGTCGAAAGCCGCGGAGAGGTCGAGGAGCAGGAGGATAGAATAGTGGCCATTGGCTTTGGCGGTTAGGAGGTGTTGGTGATTTTAAGTAGGGCGGTTTCGGTGGAGTGCAGGGGACGGAAGCCAGACTGTAGGGGGTCAAGGAGGTTGTTATCATTGAGGTGGGTGCTTAGGCGATTGTAGGCCAGGTGCTCAAAGAGCTTGGAAGTGAAAGGCGGGAGGGAGATGGGTCTAAAGTTGTTAAGGTTAGTGGGGTCAAGGGAGGGTTTTTTGACTATGGGGGTGATGTGTGCATGCTTTAGAGAGGAGGGGAAGGTGCCGGTGGAGAGGGAGAGATTGAAGATATGGGTGAGGGAGTGAATGATGAAGGGGGGGGGGGGGGGGGGGGTGACCGGAGGAGCTGTGAGGGGATATGGTCCAGGGGGCAGGTGGTGAAGCGGGCTTCAGTGAAGACCTTAGAGACCTCCTCAGAGGTAGTTGGGCTGAAGGAGTGGAGTGTTGGGGAGGTGATGGTGTGCGGGGCATTGGGTATAGTGGGGGGTAGTGCGGCTATGAGGGGAGGGTTGAGGTGTTGGAGGAGGGTGGGAGGCTGGGTGGAGAGGTGGATTGTGAGTTGACAATGTCCTTACGGATTGCGTCAATCTTGTTTTGGAAGTGATTGGCAATCTCGTGGGCGGTGAGTGAGGTGCTGGGTGGAGGTGGGGGGGGAGACAGCAGGGATTTGAAAGTGGAGAAGAGCCGGCGAGGACAGGTGGAGAGGGTGTTGATAAGGGTTATGAAGTAGGCTTGCTTGGCGGCGTGGAGGGAGGTGGTGTAGGCGGCTTTGTAGCGGGGGTGGGGGGGAGAACGCGCGAGGGGATCTGGTTTAGCGCTCCAGGGCGCGACTGCGTCGTTTGAGGCATTTCGTGTGGTCATTTTGCCAGGGTTGAAGCGGTCGGGGTCTAATGCTACGTGTGGTTAGGGGTGCCAGGGAGTCAAGGGCAGCTGACAGTGAGTTGTATGCAGTAGTGGCCAGGTCAGGGCATGACAGAGGGAGGATACTGTCATACAGACGGTCAGCTGCCAGGTGGAGATGGGACGGGTTCAGATTGTGGAGGCTGCGGTCACCTGTTAGACGCTTCCAGGGGGGGGGGGGGGTAGTTGAGGGAGGGGGAGATGGAGAATGTGAGGAGGTGGTGGTCAGAGAGGGGGAAGGGGGTGTTAGTGAAGTCGTGGGGGGTGCAGAGGTGAGAGAAAAACGAAGTCCAGGGTGTTTCCATTGGAGTGGGTGGAGGACTGTGTGTGCTGTGTGAGCGCGAAGGAGGAGGTTAGAAGGAGGAGTTGGGAAGTAGCCGGGCTGTTGGCGTTGATCGGGATATTGAAGTCGCCTAGGATGATGGTCGGTAGCTCAGGGGAGAGGAAGAAGGGAAGCCAGGCGGCAAAGTCCTCTAGGAAGGGGGATGCAGAACCAGGAGGCCGATAGATTACCGCAAAACCTTAGGGGGGGTGGGAGAGAAGAGCCGGATGCAGTGGGCCTCGAAAGAGGAGAAGGATAGGGAGGGGGGGGTTAGGGAGGACCTGGAAGGTCCTCAGCGGGGGTAGGAGCATACCGACCCCTCCGCCTCTGCGCCCGTTCGGCCTGGGTGAATGGGTCCAGACGAGGCCTCCATAGGAGAGGACGGCAGGGGGAGGTGGAGTCAGTGGCTTGAAACCAGGTTTCGGTGACCGCTAGGAGGTTGAGGGAGTGGCAGACAAAGAGGTTGTGGATGGTGGTGAGCTTGTTGCAAACCGAACAGGCGTTCAAAGAGTGCAGCCGAGAGGGGAGGGGTGGATGTGGGGAGGAGGGGGACAGATATGAGATTGAGGGTGGTTATGGTGGTTGGCGTGAGTAGGGGGGTTGGCGTGAGTAGGGGGGTGCCGGGGAGGGGGAGTGGGGGGATGGGGGGCTAGGGTTCGGGGAGATTTCACCAGCGGTTAGGAGAAGGAGGAGGGTGAGGAAGGTGGCATGGGAACGGGAGGTGCAGGAGCGCGTGGGTTTGTTGGTGGTGGCATGTGGGTCGGCGGGGGAGTGGAGTATCAGGGGGAGGTGGTGAGAGCCGTAGAGGGGGGAAGGAAGAAGTGAGGGTGCGATGTAGAGCTGTTTTGGGGGAGTAGGGGGGTAGAGGGAGGCAAGTTTGGGGATGGAGGAGAGGAGAACGAGGAGTGCAGGTGGCATGCTAGAGTTGGCAGAATGCTGATCGGGTCGGAGAGGAGGAAGGTTTCAGTCAGGATGTGAGGATGGGGAGAGTCCGTTATGCCATGTCGGAGTTCATCAGTGTCCAATCGTAGGAGGGGAGTGGGAGTGGTGGGCGGCTGGGGCCGCAGCTGGCTGGTTGCAGTCTGTGGGTGCTGTAGGTCGGCGTCCGCGGGTGTTGTGGCACGGCGTCGGTGGGCACAGTAGTGTGGCGGCTGGACGAGCCGTGGGACGCGGAGATTGGAGGTGTTGGAGGCCCGGCGTTAAGTGCACGGCTTCGGGAGGTGGTGAGGACCCGGCGTCAGGAGGCGGTGAAGGACCCGGCGTCAGGAGGCGGTGAAGGCCCGGCGTCAGGAGGCGGTGAAGGCCCGGCGTCAGGAGGCGGTGAAGGCCCGGCGTCAGGAGGCGGTGAAGGCCCGGCGTCAGGAGGCGGTGAGAGCCCGGCGTCAGGAGGCGGTGAAGGCCCGGCGTCAGGAGGTGGTGCAGGCCAATGTCCGGAATGGGCTAGGCATTGGTGGGCGCCTCCGTCAGATGGAGCGGGGCTCAGGGCTGTACGGGGCAGGGGCACGGTTGAGTGGAGCATGGTGGGGAGGAGATGTGGCAGCAGTGGCTTCCCCAGTCGGGGCCGGTGGCGGCTTGCCCTCTTTGTGCCAGCGGGGGTGATTGTTGTTTCCTTCAATCTGCGGGACCCGGAGCGGGGGCGTCGCGGCAGCGATCCTCAGCCCTTCGTGGTTCGCGCTACTCCGTGGTCTGTTGCGGCTGGTAGGAGAGACCACGGCTTCAGGGGTCGTGGTAGGCCAGGAGTCGCCCGAGTTTTGCCAGAGGGACAGCGCGCCGGAGGGCGGGGTTGTGGGCTGGTGGTCCCTGGTTCGGTGGTGGGCTTGCAATCCCAGGTGGGATAGTAGCCTAGGGTCCTTGGTGGTTTGCAGTCCCTGGTGGGTAGTGGGTGCCCCTTATTGTGGCCCTGGTGGCTTGCGGTGTGTGATGGCGGCTGGGCCCCCAGGTGGGTAGTGGGCGCCCCTGCTTGGGTCCCTGGTGGGATAGTGGCGGTCCCAGGTGGGATGGTGGGCTTGCGGTCCCCGGTGGGAAAGTAGCCTAGGGTCCCTAGTGGCTTGCAGTCTCTGGTGGGTAGTGGGTGCCCCTGATGGAGTACCTGGTGTCCTGGAACGTTAAGGTGGAAGCGGACCCCTCCCGGGTGTCTGTAGGATCGGTGGGGATGGTGGCAGCTTCCCCGAGAAGCAGAGGCGTCCTGCCGCGCCCACGATTCCCGCCGCGATTCCGGGCACGGCCAGTAGGAAACACCGCGCAGGCCTCAAGCCGCTTCGGCCCGTCGGAGCTCCGCCGGAGGGACGGTGGGTCCCGGGCCCCTTCAGGGTGTTGGTGGGGACCTCGGCGGCAGGCTCAGGGGCCTGGATGGCAGCGGATAGCAGGGGATGGGGTGCAGGGCGCCGGAGCTGGCGGTCATGCGGCTGCTCCGGGCGCCATTATTTTTCAGAATAAAATAAATAAGGCAATACCTCAAAATAAATGGAATAGACTTATAAAATTAAAGTTTTATTACAATTTTTTCATGAAAATCCTTTTTTGAACTGAAATGAGCTCACCTACACACACTAAACTCGATTCTTCTTCCCTGTGAGGCTCCTCTTTGTGCATTTACGCTTGTGAGTACATCTGGAATGTCTCTCTGAAGCATCCAACAGTAGTCTGCCATAATTGTAATGCTCCATTTTCCCTGGTATCTCCTTTCAATCTCTTTAATGTCTTGGTGGAATCGTTCACCTTGTTCCTCACTCACAGCTCCCAAATTTTCAGGAAAGTAGTCAAGGTGGGATTGGAGGAAAAGCACTTTCAAACTCATCAGGCAACCTAAAACTTGAAATGCTTTCAGCATTCGTCCGACAATCTTTTTGTAGTGAGGATCTTTGTTATTGCCTAAAAATTTCTGTACGACTTCTTTAAATGCAATCCATCCTTCTTTTTGAGGATCCATCATGGTATTGACAAACTCTTGATCAACTATAAGCCTTCTAATGTCTGGTCCAACGAACACACCTTCCTTCCATTTTGCCTTCGACAGGCCTAGAAACTTGGTGACCAAGTATTTGAAGCATTCTCCATCTCTTGGAAGTGATTTTACGAATTGCTTCATCAATCCCAATTTTATGTGGAGAGGTGGTAGAAGAACTTTATGGGAAGGTACCAGATTTTCTCGGAGGACATTTTTTTCACCGACTGTTAGCACCCTTGGCTGCCAACTCTTCTTGGTCCAGTGATTTTGTCGGTCTCGACTGTCCCATAGACACAGAAAACAAGGGTATTTGGTATCGTATCCCACCCACTGGATTCTTCAGGAAAGATTAACTCC